TGCGGGTGAGCCCGAGTGGAGGGGGGTTTTGCAGAAGGCAACTGGAGTGGCCACAAGCTCTTGGTTTGTCTTCCCAAAGCTGCCCCTTGGTCTGCTGGCCTGTTTAGATTTGTTCAAGCGGTTTTTATGTATTAACCCGATCAAGAAATGGGTTTATATCGGATTAGCAGTGGGAAATGTTAGATTTAAACCTGCAGGTTCATTGTAGGAGTGAGTACTGTAAACCTTCTTCTGCTCTGTAGCAGCAGTGGGTATGTGTCAGGGAATGGTGATGAGACACCTCTTGTATTGCCTTAAAAATGCACTATCTGCAACAAGGCTTTGGAGTTGTTCACTATATCTACAATGGGCAACGCTGGGAAAATCCGAGTTTTGACCTTTTGCCCTTTGGATATTACTCTTAGCATAGTTAGGTAAGGTCTATCTTGTTAGGTAAGGTCTGCCTTGAGTAAAAGCTGAATTGCATAAGTGGAGATTGAGAGATCAAATCGCAAGATTCTTGTCTGACTGTTCAGTTTCCTCTCCAGCCTTACCCTTCTTGAACACTACGGTTGGGTTCATGCACTCAGTCTTGAAATGTAAATGTGGTTTCTCATAGGATCTTCCCTAATTCAAAACTTTCCTCGTGCAGAACTGGTACTGTTATATTCTCTGCAATGGTGCTGAGCTCAGGGCAGACACTTCTTGTCTTTTCAGTCACTTGGAGATCCTTTGCTGTGCTATGAAGTGCAAAATCAGCCTAATCCTATTTTTTTTGGCAAATGAGGGTTGAACGTCCATGCATTGGCAAGACACAGGTGTTTCTGAACTGCTGGGATGTGAGAGCAGCGGCAGCAAGGTGTGCAATGTTCTGGAGATAATCCAGATGTTGAATTCAAGGTTGGAGGAGAGGTAACAAGTGTGCTGACACTTGTTTCAGGCCAACATAGAGAAAAGTAGCTACCATCCATTTATCCTGTTGGACCATCAGGTAACTTTGCCCTGTGCTTGCAGACATAGTTAGGATTCATTTCCCCCAAATCTGAGCCTATAGCCTTGGGATTTGGCTCT